TTTCTGCAAATCTTTTTTTTTTTTTTTTTTTTTAACCTCCTGATTTTGAAACCATTTAACTAGGTTTTGGTTTCTCAAATCAAAATTATAAGTCATCTCTCTTCTATACTACATGAATACACTTCATTAATACCTATATTAAATAAGGAGATGTGTTCAATGACCAGAGGTGAAAATAATATGGAAGGTCGGTATTCAGGTCTTTAAGATGTATTTTTAGGTCTTTTTTTGTATCTCTTATTAAAATGATCAAAAATGAAAATGTCTGATATTTGTTGAGTACTTATTTTAGAGAAGGAAAGGTTTTCTTTACTTCCCTAGAGTTCTTGGCTAGGCCTGAAATAAAACTGCTTACCATTCTGGCTTGACCAGTCCCCACAGAGATCTGAGAGGCTGATGTAGTTAAGAATCCTTACCTTGGCTGGCTTTTGTCAGAAGTCCAGGATCTCTTAACCATACCTTCTAGATTGAGCAAAGTGTCTAAAGTGAATGGCATTCCCAGCCCATGATATCTTACATTAAGTGCCAGAAACTGTGGGGCATAAAACTATACTTGTCCTCATCCATCATAAGGGGGATTTAGACAGACCTAAAATAAAAGTTTAACAAGAAAAGAACAACTAATTTATTTAATCAATTATAACAATCTCTTCCATACCTCCTGGGCTCCACATGCAGTTGTGGGCCTGAGGTCCTCAGACACTGTGGGGAAAATAATGCAAGAGTGATCACTCACAACTCTGAGATAGGAAGGGAGGGAGGGATCCTCAGCAGGCAGGATAGTCCTGGCATATAGGTAGAGGCCTGCTGGTGGGTGGGGCTCCTCAGGCAGCCAGAATATGGGTGACTTCAGCATTGGTGGTGGGCCCTCGGGGTTATACTAACTCCATAAATCAGTGAGCATGGTTGGGCAGTAAACTTTTCCTCAACTGGAACAGATGCAGAGCTGTCAAGTCCAAGGGAAATCTACTGAAACTGAGTGAGATTGTGTTTTCCTTGGTGCAGTGTTTTCAATCCAGGTCCGCCTGGTCATTTGAAGGAGGTAGACAACTGAAGTTGGAGGGAGCCAGAGGTTCTTCAGTCCTATTTCTTCTTTCAGAGATAACAGTATATTGTGCCATAATCTGTCTTCTTGCCAATCCCACGCAGTAGTCCTAGTTTTGCTTTCCATAAAATCCACTACTGCTCTTGAGAGCTGAAGGTGGCTAAGCATCCATAGTTCTGCCACCCTGCTCTTATTCCCCTGAAGACAATAGTAGTGTCTTCTCCTTAGACATTTCATGTACTTTCAGACCTCCCTGCCTCCCTTCTTGGCCTCCAGCCCTTGGAGTCTCCCATGTCTGCAATTGTAGCAGAAATGTTGAGCATCCTATAAGGCCCATCCTGGTGCCGCCTCTTCTTTAGAACTTTCTGATTCTCTTTAAGAATCCAGTCTTTAAGAATGTGACCTGAGGTCCTTGCACTTCCTTTGATAAACTTAGTACTTTGAGCTCCTCTTTCACAGCAAATCCTGGTTAAAAAGCATCAGTAAAGGAGATTTTGCTGAAGGCTTTATGAAAAGAGAATTAGACAACATCTCATGCTGCAAAACTCCATAACAATCTGCTTCCTCCCCTCGGATCCTCCTCTTTCCCACCAGACACCCTGGCTCTGGGGCCTTGTCCTATACATGTGTTTGGGTTTCTTCTCTTTCTGAGTTTTCTGTCACCTTCCTCTGAGACATCCCTCCTCCCATCCATTTTTCTGTAATTTTCATTTTATACTCATTACCTTTCAAATAAGGGAGTTCTGCTCTTCAGAAGACAATATGATAAATGACAAATTATCTCTGCCCACCCCGCCATCCTGTTTTCCTCCACAGACACATTTAATATCCCAGCAAGTCTGTTACACAATACCCCCTCAGAGTGTGGAGTGACGGGAACAGTAAATACAATGCACTGTTTGCTCATGGCACCTGAGACTCTCCAATCTTGAGAACTCTCCCTTCCCTCCCTTCTTCTTTGGTGAGGTTAGACATGAATCACCTTCAAACCCTTTTGAAGGTCTGGCTCACCTAGACTATTTAGATTATCAGGAAAAATTGATTTGTTTGTTTTTTGCTGTGCTAGGGATTTATCCCAGGGTCTCAATCATGCCAGGCAAGTGCTCTACCACTGAGCTACAGTCCCAGCCCAGGAAAGGTTTAATTTGCCCCTACTCCTACTCCAGATCTGCAAGTCATGGGCCCCACAAAGCCAGGCTGAGTTTGGGATTAGACATTGTAACATTAGATTTTAATGGGGAAAGATACAGCTGAAAAATTTCCATTTTGAGATATGGGAAAAGAAGGAAATCTTCTGCCACTTAGAAGGTGAGTTTCCTCAATGCTCCCACAGCTTTTTCCTTCATGGGTGCACTCTGTCACAAGGTATCCATCCTCACAACTGAAGCAAAAGCTAGGCCATTCTATCACATGGGGGTGGGATGGAGTGGGGTGGTGGTAATCCTTGTTTTGTTCCTGAAACTATCCTTCAAGGTTGAAGAAGATGAATGCTGGGTGGTGGGTGCCTTGGTGGCATTAGGATTTTGTTTGTGACCAAACATGCCACACTAAATACAAATAAGGGTGAGTGGTTACCAAAATACCAGCAAGAACAACTTAGAGGAGGAAAAGTTTATTTGGGGCTCATGAATTAAGAGGTCTTTGTCCATCAATAACTGGCTACATTTTTTGCTCTGGGCCTAAAGTGAGGCAACATAAGAAGGGGGAAGGGCCCAGTAGAAGAACACTGTTTAGCTTGTGGTGAGATCGGAAAGGAGTGAGAGAGAAGAGAGAGACTAGGGGCCACAGGACAGATGCACCTTTCCAGGACATGACCCACCTCCTCTAGCCATGCCTCACCTGCCTACACTTATCATCCAGCCAGTTCAATTAAAGTAGCATAGACTGATTGGGTTACAGCTCTCACAATCTAATAAGTTCACCTCTAAATATTCCTGCATTAGCAGGAGCTTTAGAGGGACACCTCAAAACAGTAGTCATTACCATGAGCCCTGGGCTCTGACTTCAGGAGACTACGGCACACATACAATCCTTCTCCCATGGTGACCCCAGTCCCAGCTCAAAACATCTGATTTTACCTCCATGTCTTCTTCCTTAATCATTCCCCCTAGTGAGAATCCAAGTGGTCCCTCCAGTCTCAGAATAAGTTGGATTTTGGGGAAAAGATTTTCCATAAATGACTCCTGCTCTGACTGCTCAAGGTACACTGAATTCCCCAAGGGACACCAGCAGCACGTTTTACATGTCTTGCTGGGAAATCCTCTAAACTTCGTACATTTATGAAGAAAGTCTTCTCCTTTTTGTGGCCTCTGGCCGCAATGTTAGGCCAGTCCTAGAAATGACTGCATTTCTGCTCTTGGCTCTGGTTAGCATTATGTCCCACAGATGCTTCAAGTCCATATTGAGTTCCTGCTGCTGGCTCCAGCAGACCGTGATTTAATCTCTAGTTTCTTGCCTCCAAGGCTCACCACCCCATGACATTTAGGAGACATGTACTGACTCCGATTTGATCTGCTGTGGCTGGCACTTCTCTCCTTCCAAATGCCTGCAGTTTCTGAGAGTCTGTTTTGTCCACTTGTCGTCCCTTTGATTGCTTGATGGGCAGCTGTTCCAGGAATTCTGCAGGGAAGGGGCTAGGCCATTCAAGAATATCTATAGCACACTTCCTCTCCTGTTCTTGAAAGACCTTATCTAGTTTCTTAAGAAATCATGTTAAGGATGAAACAACAATCTCCAGCCTGAGAATTCTCAGTTTAGTACCTCTTCTGATGCTATCACAAGAGGCTCTGTTTGGGGCATCCACTTTGAACAATGCAACTTCTCCAAAGCTCTAGTGCAGACCTTAGGGCAGTTTCCACACACTGATGGTTTAAGAATCACTCTAATTTGTGATATGTAAATTAGATTTGAAAAACAAGCCTGAAGAAATGAAGTGATTGAGGAACCTAAAAACCAAAGCCAGCCCTCCGAACACTCAACCAGGGTCCTATACTCTGAAGAGAGATCAGGAATGGGAAAGCAGTCTGCCTCTGCTCTTCAAATGTCCACAAAGGCCACATCACTGAGCTTGAACCATGGTTGCCTGATCAAGGGATGAAGACTTAGTGTTTGAGGAGAGCTGTGTTTCTTTTGGGAATCTTTTGACATTAAAGAACAAACAAACAAAAAGCTATGTGCATGAATGCACTACTCAAATATTTTTTTATTTTTAAAATTTTTGAGGTGGTGCTGGGATTTGAGCCCAGAGCCTTGCACATGCCAGGCAGGTACTCTTACCACTGAGCTATGCCCCAAGCTCCTAAATATTTGTTTGATTTATTTTTATTTTTTCATATTTTTATCGGTGCACTGTAGTTGCACATAATGGTGGAATTTGTTGTTACCTATTCATGTATACACACAATATAACAATATAGTTTGGTCAATTTCATTCCCCAGTATTTCCCTTTTCCCTCCTCTTCTCCCTCTCCGGCACCCTTTCCTCTACTCTGCTCATCTTCCTTCCATTTTCATGAGATTCTCCCCATTTTTCCTTTTCCTTTTCCTCTTTAGCTCCCACCTATGAGAGAAAACATAGGGCCCTTGACATTCTGAATTTGGCTTTCCACTTAATATTCTCAAGTTCCATCCATTTTCCTGCAAATGACGTAATTTAATTTTTCTTTATGACTGAATAAAATATTTTCTATATGTCCGTTGATGGACACATCTCGTCTGGTTCCATTGTTTGGCTATTGTGAATTGTGCTGCTACAAACATGGTTCATGTATCTCCAGAGTATGATGACTGTAATTCCTTAGGATAAATACTGAGAAGTAGAATAGCTGGGTCATATGGTAGTTCCTCTGCTAATCTTTTGAAGAGCCTCCATGCTACTTTCCATAGTGGTTGTACTACTTTACAATCCCACCAACAGTGTAAAAGTGTTCCTTTTTTTCCACATCCTCTCCAGCATAAAAATATGGAAAGCTTCATGAGTCTACACGTCATGCTTGTGCAATGACTATTCTAATCTTCTCTGTGTCATTCCTAATTTAGCATATATACTGCCAAAATGAGCACTAAATATTTGTTTTAAATGTTTTTTAAAAATCATTGCCTGACTCTGTGCTTCCAGCTCCGGAACACTCTGTAAATGGCCTAGAAAAGAGCCAGGCCTCCCAGGTCACCAGTACACAGGGACAGAGCCTCTTGACCCTGCTTGTGACAGCATTGCAAGCACATGCCTGACATACTTTGGAAGGCCTGCCTGGTTCTATTACTGGTACATGGAAGTTTTGCTCCAGCAGCAAATCTCTAAATTTAGATGCTTTTCAGGATGAACTCTAAGTGATCTTTGTCCCCAAGAGTAGTAAGGAATTGGAGGGCACCTTGCTTTTTATCGACTAATTCAAGTGCCAGAGTTGATACTTCATAGCACAAAACTTGTGAAGATTATCATGTTAATGGGAAACAAAACAAACAAGCAGGGAATATATACGATTTCTCCTTCATAGTTTTTGATAAAAATTTACCCTGGGTATAACTCAAGTGAAATAAACACCAACTCAGGGTAAAAATTATTTTCCTGGAAACTCTATGGGGCTATCTAGATACAATTAGGGACTATCTTTTTTTGTTTGTGATGCTGGGGATTGAACCCAGGGTCTTGTGCATGCAAGGCAAGCATTCTACCAACTGAGCTATATCACCAGTCCCCACTTAGGGACTCTCTTAATAAAATGTAGAAATTTAGTTCTAATATAATGTCTCAATGCTTAACTTTGCCATTTTAATCAAAGAAAAGACAATTTCAGAGCATATTAAAAAGAAATTAAAAACTTTAAGGGAATGCTCAATTTATTGAGGAACCATCTCCTATCAAAGTCAGTCCCACTAATTTATCTTTATGCAGAGACAAGAATGTAAGTGTAGATTCAGATTAACTAGGTTCCAATCCTGATCCTGCTACCACTAACAGGGGGATGTTGGGTGGTTTATTTAACTGCTTTGGTGCTCAGCTTCTTTGCCTGAAAATAGAATCTAAGAATACCTTCTTATTATGATTATTAAATGACAACTTATGAAAAGAACATATAATCCTTAATAAGTGGTATTATTCAGTCAAGACGTAATGATATTATTCTGTCTAGATGTAATGACAGTCATTGATATATCCTAGCAAAGGAAGATTTTTTTTTTCTTTTTAAACAGGGAACTTCAAGGAATAATGGGGAAAAAATATACAGAGAAAGAGAGGGGTCCAGGTGAGCTCTGTCATTTAGCTACCCTGGACAAATAACCTAATTCCCTTGGGCGCCAGTTCCTTTATCTCTAAAGGGAGCTCTGGGCCTTGCACCAAGAAGGGTGCTTGGTTAAATTATTTCCAAAGGCCTGTCTAGTTTTGGCATTACTGGATATTTGTTTCATTGTTCTAGTGATGCTGGGGATTGAACCCAGGGCCTTGAGCAGGACATATAAGTACTTCATACTGAGGTACATCACTTGTCCTAATACTGTGTATTTTTTTGGTCGAAGGGACTTCAATGGAAAATTATTTTGGTTCAAGAAGCGCCCAAACCAGGACAAACCTGAGGGGACATGGAATTCTTTGGAAAAAGAATTGTGTTGCCATAAGTGGCTATAAATGATCAGTAATCAGATTTTACTCTGAGAGAGAAAAGTCGACTTTATAGGCTGAGATTTGGGAAGGACACAGCTATTTAGTGAATTCATTTCCTACCCTGAAACTTTATACACCCAACAATGCTCCCAGTCTTTCACACCATCCCCAAAGGCTTTCCAAGCTGGGTCTCTAGGTGAGCCCTTTTCCTTCATGCAGACTGCATTCCCCAGAGAGAGTTCTGAGCCAGGTTCCTTCCCCCCAGTCCATCCCCTCATGTGCTTAAAGTTTGCCTAGCTCATGGCCCTCTTGGTAGGATGCTTTGTCTCCCCCAGTCCCCCTCCACCACCCACCCTGATCTTTCTATCTTTAGCTTCCTACTCAGGGACTTTTTGGAGTAGACAGTCACATGCACTGGGTCATTTATGACATTGCTGGCTTAAGTATGTCCCCAGTCATTTTTTCAAGAATTATATATTGATTTAAAGAGAAGAAATTAGTAGTTTTTAAGGTTCCAAATTTCAAAGTATTATACACCAGTTATAGAAATATTTAGAAAGGATAAAGAAGAAATTGTATATTATGTGTGATCTTCTGACCCAAAGATAGCTACTGTTAGCAATACATTTCTCATGCTTTATTTTTTAAATTTTTATTAGTTGTCAATGGATACTTATTTATTTATGTTTCTGAGAATCAAACCCAGCATCTCACACATGCTAGGCATGTTCTGTAATACTGAGCCACAACCACAGCTCTCATCCTTTATTTTTATATACATGTTTAGATTGTATCTATACCTGCTTCTACATAAGTCTGCGTATTTGAGCTAATACTTCACATCCAAAATGAAGTCACGTGTCAGTACTTACTATGTGGCTTTCTATGTCCTTCTCTCTGATCTGTTTTGATCTGTTTCCTCTTGCCAGTCACAATGACACTAATCTGCAGCTTGGAACTGGATTCCTGTGAAAACCACACTTTTTTTTTTTTTTTTTTTTTTGGAACCAGGAATTGAACTTAGGGGTGCTTAACTATTGAGCCACATTCCCAGCCCTTTTTAATTTTTTAATTTGAGACAGAGTCTCCTTAAGTTGCTTAGGGCCTTGATAAGTTGCTGAGATTGGCTTTGAACTTGATCCTCCTGCCTCAGCCTCCGGAGCTGCTGGGATTACAAGTTTAGGCCACCCAACCCGGCCACAATAAAGTCTTTTGCCTTAACTTCCTCTTGCTTCCTCTGACTCCTGAAGCCTGGTGCTTCCCCTTGTGGCCCTGGGTGGCTTCCTGGGGACCAAACTTCCTGAGTAACAAACTGTTCTTTCAGAGGAAGCCACATCTTCATCTGTCGGCCTCACTTATCTGAGTAGTAACAAAACCTATATTTAAAAACAGGGTGCTAACGTGGACAATGACTGAGATGGTGGTGGGTGAAACATTGTGACAATGTAAAGGAACATTGGGGATGTAAGATGTAAGTGACAGGATTTAATGATTCATAGCATGGGAGACAGTATGATAATTATGATAATTTATAGCAGTTATAATCTCATAAACAAAAGGCTTTATTGCTTCACAGAGTACTTTTACACATATTATGTAATTTGTTTCTTACACACCTTTAGCTATAATAATCTGATTACAGAATGGTCTAGGCCTTCTGGTGAGTTCATAGAACCAGAAATAAAATTGAAGTGCACCAGATCCAACCTCCTCATTATACAATTGAGGAAATAAAATCCCGTGAGGGTTTTTTTCCTGACCCCATCTCTCTGGCCCTATGAACAGATATTATTCTCTGCTGACTAAGCCCAACCTGATTAGGAGACTTCTCAGAACCTGGCAGGAGGAGGGGCATAGCCCCAGCAGCTGGTGGACTACAGATCAGCAGCTCAGGCTTTCTCCCCCAGTGAAGGTTGGTCAATACTCCTTGGTTACCAGCCAAGGTCCCCCTCTGCCTTGAGCCAGAACTAAGCCAAGACCTCAGGTGGGATCCTTTTACCTCTGCTCACAAGACTATAACAACAGCACCCTGGCCCTCCTGCTGGATAAGTGACTTCACATCCTGGGATCCCAGGCTGGCCTGACATTGGGGACCCAAGCAAGGGGATCAAAGTTGCCTGGAATTTCAAGGCAGGGGCTTTATTACAACTGTTCCAATTCCATTAGCCAGTTCAGAGTAAAGCTGGCCACAAAACTAGGCATATATAGAAGGCTGAGTTATTGATCTAAGTAACTCAAGGTGCCTGGAAATAAAATTTTCCTTTGAAACTAAGATTAGCATTCACATTTTTACACACAGTAATAATATATGTGAACGCATGACCAATGTGATTCTGCAACCTGTATACTCAGAAAAATGAGATATTGTATCCCATGTGATTCAAATGTATGATGTGTCAAGGTCATTGTACTGTCATGTGTAACTAATTAAAACAAATTAAAAAATAATTAAAAATAAAAAAACAAACAACAACAACAAAACTGCTGCCTTTCCAATCTGGATATAACACACATTATTCAGACAATAAATTCTACTTTGATGGAAGAAAAAAAAAATAAAGAAACTAAGATTAGGCTGAATTTCTAGCCTAGAGGTTGGATGTAAAGTTTAAAACCTAGCAGGACAGGAAGCAGGACAGTGGTGCTGGAGGCATTTCCTCCCTGCCCCCCTCTCTCTCCCTCTCCTTCTTCCTGGCCCTTTCCCTCTCCCTTTCTCTTTCCTACTGGGGATTGAACCCAGAGGCACTTTACCCTTGAGCTACATCCTCAGCCATTTTTATTTTTTATTTTGAGACAGGATCTCACTAAGTTGCTGAGGCCATCCTCAAACTTGTGATCCTCCTGCCTCAGCTTCCCGAGTCACTGGGGTCACAGGTGTGCGCTATCACACCCGCGTCCATTGTTTATTTCACAAGTGCTCAAGCTTTGTTATAGAACCATGGGAACTGAGACATTTAAGGTATGATTGATAGGTCTGACGAAGCTTGGAATCAGAGTTTCCATTTGAGACACAATTTAATGGTAACAGCAAAGCTTGATGGCACAAATGAGGAGGGGCAAGTGTAGTCCGAGAGATAGAAACAGTAAAAATAGAAAGCACTGGAACTGTCTGAGTTAGTTTCAGTGCTATTAACTATAGTCAGGACCGACTTAAGCCGCTGCTGATGCCACCACCAGAAATAAAATCTGACTACTTCCTCTGGATTGCCACCTTCTCCAACAAAATATTGTGCTACATGTGTGCTGAGGACAGGACTGGCAACTGATACAAGGATGCTGGTGCATGAGACCTTCACTTGGAAGGGTGGCTGCAAGTGGCCAGCAGGGGCAGGAACCAGGAAGTCAGAAGCACGGTAAAAGCCAGAGAGATGAGGTCAGATGGGATCAAAGGGCTGGGTCATCAACAGCCTCAGACAGGAGCCAGGTGAGCTGTGAGCATAAAGAGGTATCAGATTAGTAA